CCTGTTTGAAAATGGTGAAAAATAGCTAAATTTCGCAAAGGCAAGTATTTATATGTTTCTGCCCAACGATTTTCGCATATGCAGTTCCGCTTTTGTGGACCAATGGTCACATCTGCGATAATCACTTAAAGCTTAGCTTCCGCACCTGCGGTTACCCCTTTGTAGATGCGGGGCCGCTTCTGCGGTCCCTGGTGGCTTCTCCCTTTTCCGCTTCTATGATCCTTCTGTCGCTTCTGCGGCTCCGCACCTGCAGTCCCAACTCGCAGGTGCGGTTATGACAAAAAACCAGCTGAAGCTGCAACTCCAAACTCCAAAAAAAAAATCCTCCGTTAACCATCCGAAATCATCTCGAGGCCCCCAGGACCTCGACCAAAGGCACCAACAAGTCTAATACTACTGTCCAAACTTATATCAATCCTTAAAACACCTAAAACAACATCAAAACGGCGAATCAACCACGGATTCAAGCCTAAAAATTTCAAAACTCTAAAAATACGCTTTCGATCAAAAAGTCTATCAAACCTCGTTCGAATGACCTAAAATTTTGCACACACGTCACATTCAATGCCGCGGATCTACTCCAACGTCCGGAATTCCATTCCGACCCTCAGATCAAAATCTCACTATCAAACCGGAAACTTCAAAATTCGACCTTTCGGTATTTCAAGCCTAAATTAGCTACGGATTTCCAAAACACAATCCGAACACGCTCCTAACCCCAAAATCACCCCACGGAGCTAACGGAACCATCGGAATTCCATTCCGAGGCCGTCTTCATACTGTTCTGACTACAGCCAACTTTCCAACACTTAAGCTCTCATTTAGGGACTAATGTCCCAAAACTCTCCGAAACTCAAAACCGAACATCCCGGCAAATCAAAATAGCAGAAATAAACACGGGAAAGGCAGTTAATAGGAGATCAGGGTGTAAATTCTTAAGACGCCGGTCGTCACAATAGTTCATAGAGTTGCTGTTTTTACATGTTTAAGTAAGGTGAGTGTAATTATCTTGATTTCTGACTTGTGAGCTTTCTACTTTCTCTGCCTGATCTAATACATTACACAAGTAGTCAAAAATAATATTTTCCAGGAATTCATGTTACAGTGTACTTGTGCGTTCATATTGAAACATGCAGTCAGATCATGTTTCTTTGTTTTGAAAGTGTGAATTTTTGTTCCATTACTTTTATTTCTTTGAAAAAGTAATGGAAGAACAATCAAATCATGTTGTTTCATTCAGAAGTTTAGAACTGTTAATAACTTTATTTATCCTCTTTTGTAGGTGGAGAAGATCAAGAAATGGATGATGAATAAGAATTAGACTTTACTTGAGATAGAATTTTGAATTGTTATAGGTGAATGTTCTAGGAATCTTTTGTTATCAACATTTTTGAAACTACTTACTCTCTTGAAATATACTAAACTTATGCACTTGGGGTAGAACATTTGCTTTATGGATATTATTTACTTGATGGATAATTTTATATTATTAATAGTCTCCTTTATGATGTATTTAAATTTTAGTGTTATTATTTTTTTTTATATATATAAATATTTATTATAACATGTGCTATATTTTGGTTTTAACTGAGCTGATACAATAGCCAACCAGAACCGTTGTAATAGGATACAAATGACATTCCAGTAGACAATGTAAACCGTTGCAATAGGTCCTATAAAATGTTCCAAATTGATCTATAAACCGTTCCAAATACAAATATAACCGTTGCGCTAGCTTATAGAAACCGTTGCTATATCCATACATAACTGTAACAATAGCTTACATAAGTATTGCTTTAAATAATATGATAACATTTAAGAACCATTGTATAAACAATATAGTAACGGTTTTAAACTGTTTCAATTGAAAAAAATAAATGTTCCAACAGAGAAGGGGAAAACCATTGCGATAGACGTATCTATAGTCATGACAATGCAAACCGTTGCAAGAACCGATCCAATAGACCTATGGGCACGGGGGCTGATGTAATGGGTTGTAAACCGTTCCATTATACCTATGGTAACGGTTTGACAGTCTGTGGGAACGATTTTCTAACCGTTACAGTGGACCAATTTTCAGTAGTGATAAAGAACTAAAAATGAAATAAAAATTCCGGCACATCCATACATGATTGTAAAGAAGATAAGGAGCTTCTTCATATGTATTGTAAAGTGTTTACACTTTTTAGACCTACTTTTGAACACAATAACTGCGAATTTTCTTTTAAGCTGGTACATGTTGCATGTTGCGTGTAGATTCCGTAACTACCTTTTTAATCAACCTGTGGATCTGTGATGAACACTTTGACGGAGTAAATATAATATTATAGAGTGTTATCGACAAATAATCAATGATTACGATACACAAACAAAATGTCGGTTATCGCCTAGAAAACAAGGGGGGAAACATAGAAATTAAGTCTTTATATATTTTGAATAGTATAAAGTCGTTATATTGAATAAAATGGAAAACACGAAGATCTTTGGTGATATTACGCAATTAAAAAGGCATCTTTTGGGTCAGCCATTGGTAAATTTCTTGCGTTGCTATCGAGAAATTAACTATGTGACAGATTTCTTGACAAGTTATGTGCTTATGGTGAAAAGGTTTGTCATGATAGTATTGAACAAGTTCCATCTCGAATCAAGACAAGTACCAACTTCAATCTTTTCGATTTTGCAAATCTATATTTTGAGTTTAATTTGTATATGTGATGATGTATCCTTTTCTCAGGACGTTAGTAGCTTTTTTTTTAGCAATAAACAGTTTCACCTACCAACCTGATATTGGATTGGGGTGATTGACTAAAAACAAAATAAATTAGAAAAAGACTAAATTCACCACACGTTTTCTCTGTTAACCGGGTAAAAATATAAAAGTGAACAGTTAGTTAACAATCCACATCAAAATGAGAAACATATCCTAGTTTCAAGCAAGACGAAGAAATGTATGTATAAAAATATGTCACTTCTTTCCTTGTGGAGTTTATAGTAAAAAAGTTATACATAAAGAGAGTAACAGCTTAACTCCGGTTGACAAAGAAAATACGTACTTGAAAGTTGAATCGACTTAAAAGCAAAGTAACACCTGGTCAATCTTTCTGGTGTTTTTGTAGCCCCACTCCCTCTTTTCATCTGCTTGTGACTTCAATTCATAATAATTACACCAATCAGCCAGCCACACTGTATTTCAGTTTTACTTAAAAAAAACAATACCATCCTATCAAAGAGCCGTGTGCAGGTGAAGAATTTCCCTCCAGTGAAGATCTATTATCAAGTACAACTGTAAATCATGTGAGTGGACTACCTCGATTATTTACATACGTTCTACTCTATCCACATTTATTTATTACTAAGATTCATCCCGCCAATTGTGTTTGCATAAGCAGCCAATTTATTGCAATTTTTCTTTCTTCTTTTGTTTTTCCTTAAATTAAAACCAACTATTCTTTGTATATGAAAGTAGGTGAAATTTTTATAAAGTAACATAAACCTTAAAAGAAAAAAGGAAAAGAAACCATTCCATTGGAGAATGGTACGTAAGAAAAGTGTGGTGTGACTAGCACTTTGTAATCAAAGAATGGGCAATGGGACTGTATCCTCTTGCAAAAGGCGCTTTCTTTTTTTTTTCTTTCTTTTTTTTTTTCTTTTTGGGTGAAGAAAAAAAATATTATTAATCATCCCAACAAACAACACAGATGGAATACAATGTAAGACTGTACAAACTACGGAAGCTAGGCCCTGCTACCTATAATCTTCACAGTCGGAACCAGGATTTAAAGTTATTGGGTTCGAGATTCTAGCGTTTTTATGTTACTGGATTCTAAAGTAAGAATTTGTATTTTTTCAATAAATTTCTTAAAATAAATATAAGGTTTGCACTAAATCTACTGATTTCAACCAAATCCGTTACAGAAGCTCTAGCTCCACCACCGATAATCTTCCCATAGCAAAGAGAAAAATAATAATAACTGATTACGTAAGGAGTCATTATTCAGCCTAAGAAAATAATCTAGGAAATTAACAAAATCTTGAAGTATGCCAAGGCACTGGAAAGCTTGTTGAAGCTTGAATTTCAGGGTCAGGGCTCTTTAATTTGCAGGGTAAACATTTTTTTTGTGTGGTTAAAATCGCCTCTACTTCAAGAAAGACTATTGAAATAAAAATATAATTATTCCATGCAAAAAAAATATATCTCCGTGTCGTGCTGAAAACCTGTTAATACAGAAAACATCAGTTCAATCAAAAGGATCGTTAATGGAGATGAGGGATTCTAGATCCTTTTTATCAGAGAGAAAGATACAAACGAGGCAGTGAGAGATGGAAAATGGTCGGCCAACCCAATACAGTTGGGCCTTTTACTATTTATACTTCACTTAGACCCGGTCCATAATGTTTACAAAACTAGCACAATGTATTGAACTAAGCTATTACATCTGACTACTTCTAATACAATACAAAGAATGGCTATCTCTATAAAACTGTCTATTTACAAAATAAATAAAGAATGAGCCAACTTAAGTGTGTGGCTTTGGAGGCCCAACACCCACCTTCAAGTTGGAGGGGGAAACCACCTTCAACTTGCCTAGAAAAGTATGATGGAGGACCCCAGGTAGTGATTTAGTGAAGACATCAGCAAGTTGATTGGAGGTAGGAACATGGGATAATTGGAGGAAGCCCTCAACCAATTTGTTTCTGATGAAGTGACAATCCACTTCGATATATTTTGTACGCTCATGGAATACCGTTTTCTTCGCAATATGAAGAGTTGTCATGTTATCACATAGGACGGAAACAGGAAAAGAAACATGGACTGTCAGATCATGTAACAAGCGGGACAACCAAACTAATTCAGCCAGCACATGTCGGATAGCTTGATACTCAGGTTTAGTGGATTAAAGAGAAACCACAGGCTGCTTTTTGGATTTCCAACCAACAAGACTGTCGCCCAAGAATATACAATAGCCCGAGACAGACTTGCAAGTGTCGGGACAAGCAGCTCAATCACTATCAGTATAAGCCTTCACAGAGAAATCAAGATTGTTAGAATAAAATAAACCAAAATCATGTGTGCCTTTAAGATAGCAGAGCAAGTGGTGGGCAACAACCATATGAGGTATCCTAAGAGTGTGCAAGAATTGGCTCAAATGTTGAACATCAAAGCATATGTTAGGTCGAGTGTGAGTTAAAAAGAGTAGCTTGCCAATGAGTCTCCTGTACTTCTCAGGAGATGACAAAACCTCATCTTCAACATCCTTGAGCTTTGGGGTGAGTTCTAGAGGACTAGCAACAGAAGTGACCCCCAAAAAATCAAACTCTTTTAGCATATCAGAAACAAATTTCTTTTGATTTAAAAGAACACCATCAGGGAAAACAGTAACCTCAATGCCTAGGAAATAGTGTAGAAACCCCAAGTCTTTAATTTTAAACTCATCATCCAAAAACTACTTCAAAGCTGAAATTTCAACCAAATCATCACCTGTAAGAATGATGTCATCAACATAGACTGCTAATATCACCAAATGACCTGGAGATCCTTTGATGAAAAGAGAATAGTCATTGAGGGAATGATGATACCCTCTGGAATAAAGAGCCTCAGATAACTTGGCATACTATTGTCTAGAGGCTTGACGCAACCCATAAAGTGATTTTTTCAGCTTACAAGCCAAAGAGACAGAAGAAGGAGAAGCAACAGAGAGACCTGGAGGTAATTTCATATAAACCTCTTCATCTAAGTCACCATGAAGAAAGACATTATTGACATCGGTTTGAAACAAAGACCAATTCTTTTTAACAGCAACAACAATCAAGTACTTAACAATGGACATTTTCACAACAGGAGAGAAAGTCTCATTGAAACCCACCCCCTCAACCTGTGTGTCCCCCCTAATGACAAGCCTAGCATTGTATCTTTCAATCTCACCATTAGCTTTGTATTTGATCTTATAGACTCATTTGCAACCAATAGGCTTCTTGCCCGGAGGAAGCTCAACAATATATCAAGTGTGATTTGCTTCCAAAGTCTCAAACTCTTTCCTCATGGCATCTTGCCAAGCTGGAATAGAAGCTGCTTGGGAATATGTATATGGTTCAAATTCTACTAGCTTAGAAGAGGAGCAAGAAAGGGAATTGGGCAGCTTGTAGATATCATTTAAGTAAGAAGGGGGATTATGAGGTCTATCAAATTTTCTATGAGGAATAGAGGATGGTGCAGAAGTAGCAGCATCAGGATTGAAAGAAGGAGAAGCAGGGGTAGAATCAGGGACAACAACTGAAGGAGAAACTGCAGCATCTATGTCAGGAGGAGAAAAGGTGTTGGGAGAAGTAAGAGATGAATAACCATATGTGAAAGGAGAAGCAAGATGTGATGTTGTGTTGGGGGAACATTAGTGGAAGAAGATGGCATAAGACAATCATGGGAAAAAGAAAGTAAATGAGCAGGTGACAAATGGGACTCAGAAACAATAGGAAAGGAGAAATCTGAAGAAAAAGGAAAATGCTGCTCATGGAAAACCACATCTCTAGATATGAAACACTGCTTGGATTGCAAATTATACAACTTATAGCCTTTCTTTGCAAAGAGATAGCCAAGGAATATACAAAGATTAGATCTAGGTTTCAGTTTATCTCATTGAGGAATTGGAACAGTGGCAAAACAACGACAACCAAAAGTCCTTAAGTGAGAATAATTGGGCTTTTTGTCAAATAGCAACTCATAAGGAGATTTATTTTGAAGCAAGCTAGAGGGAAGTCTATTTATAATATAGGTGGTTGTGAGGAGACAGTCTCCCCAGAATCTAATGGGAACTTGGGACTGAAAAAGTAAGGCTCTAGAAGCTTCAAGAAGAGTTCTATGCTTCCTCTCAACCACACCATTTTGTTGAGGTGTGTGAGGGCAGCTTGTTTGATAAATTATATCATGTTCAGAAAAGAAGGAAATAGCAGCATGACTAGCTCCTAACTTTAAAGCATTGTCAGACCTTATACACTGAATAGTCATATGAAATTGTGTCTTTACAAGTGCAACAAAGGCCTTAAGAAGAGGAAAATATTACTCTTGGAGCCCATTAAGTGAGTCCAAGTGCTTCTAGTGAAATCATCAACAATAGTAAGAAAGTATTTAGAACCTGAATAAGTAGGTATGTGATATGGTCCTCAAGTATCAACATGGACAAGTTGGAAAGGCTTAGAGCTATGAATTGAGCTATCAGGGAAAGGCAATCTAGTTTGCCTAGCCATTGGACAAACATGACATGTAAAAGACTGTGTGGAAGAAATATCAGAACATACTTTAGAAATACTTTTCATTCTAATAAAAGGAACATGAGCAAGTCTACTATGCCAAACAATATCCATCATTTTATTCATAGCAGCTTTATTACAGGCAGAAGAAGCAGTATTTACAATAGAAGAAACAGGAACAAGATCACAAACAGATGGTAAGCTGCAAGAATTTGACAGAGTATCTTGATGCTGAGAAGGTTTTTCCCATACAAACTTGTATAACCCACAATCCAGTTTACCAAGATCCAGAGGCTTCTTCAGAGAAGAGCCCTGTATGAGACAAGAAAGTCTGGTAAACTGAACTATGCAATCAAACTAGTCTGTGAGTTTATGTACAGAAATAAGATTGTGTTTAAAAGAAGGTAGATAGAGAACATTTGTAAGAATAATGGAATCAGTTAAGGCAAAGGAACCTGTACAAGTGACTTTAACTTTGTACCCATTTGGTAGGGAAACAAGGAAAGGAATAGGTAAATGTGTGATATTAATAAGGTAATCTTTGTTAGAGGTCATGTGATCTGATGCACCGGAATCAACTATCCAAGTTAAAGAATCAGATTGACTAAGTAGAGTAGAATTAAAACTATATACTACATTCTTAGGCAACAAAGTACCAGCAAAATTGGCAGAGCTCATAATGTTGAGTTGAGATCCAGAATCAGAGATATGAGATTGTTGTAGCAGTGAAATCAGTTGAGAATACTACTGCTTTGTCAAACCAGGTACCCTAGAACCATGTTCATTAGAACCAGCAGCAGGAATAAGGGCTTGGTTGGGAGAAGAACATTCAGAAGTAGAAAAATCAGAATCCATAACCACATTGGCAGCTACTTTCTTGCCTTTAGTGAACTTGAAATTTGGAGGGAACCCATGAAGCTTGAAACACTTATCAATGGAATAGTCCTGATTTCTTACAATACTTATAAAAGAGGTTAGACTTGGATTGGTCAAAATTGACTCTCTGATTAAATTATCTCTGATATCCCTGAACATTAATTTGTGGTTGAAAAGGTTTGTTATTGGGAGGATTGACATTGCAAGATGCTGATTCAGTAGTAAATTGCGTGGCAGGATTGACTTCTCTTTGTTTTTCATCTTGCAGGAGGATGTTATAGACATTGTCAAGAGATGGCAAAGGTTGCATCATTATCAAATTGCTTCTGACACCCACATATACCTCATTCAGTCCCATGAGGAACTGATGAACTTTATCCTCATCTTTCTCCTTCTGAAGACTTTCTTTAGCAGCACATGTGCAAGTATTTGCATGACTACTGCACATTACCCCCAACTCATCCCATATTCTTTTAAGTTTGGTGAAATATGAAGCAATATCAAGGGATCCTTGATAAGTAGATGCTAATTCCCTTTTTAATTCAAATACTTTGGTCCCATTCACAGTTCCATATCTATTATTTAATTGTTTCCAAATGCTTTCAGCTGTCTCAGAGTATTAAACACTTTCAGCTATTTCTAAAGACAAAGTGCTAGTTATCCATGATATAACCATGTTGTTACAACGATCCCATTGCTTATAATCAGGAGAAATCGTAGTAGGTTTGGGACATGAACCATCAATAAAAGCTATCTTATTCCTAGCGGACAGAGAAACTATCATGCTACGCTTCCATCCCCCAAAACCATTCCCCGAGAAAGGTACAGGAACAAGTGATACTCCAGGAACATCAGAAGATTGGAGATACAAGGGGGATGAAGGCTCAGGAGTATATGCAGAAGGTGTACTAGAACCAGTCATGATAGCAATTAGGAAGTATCAATCGACAACTCATGACAACAAGTCACAAACGATAACACCAAACACCACAAAGCAAGCAATCAGATAAGAAAAGAGAATACCAGCCTTCTTCGCAACCCGAAGAAGTAAGGCCTGGAAGACGAGCAAAACTCTGATGAGTTCACCGAGCAAGCCCTAATTTGACAAAATCTGGAACCTTCGAGTAGCCAAAATTCAATCAAAAAAATGGAAACTTCACGCTAATACAGCTTCTCCGATGACAGCAATGAAAAAATCCAACCAAAAAAGTAACTTCCAGTCGAGAAATCAACGGAAACCACCAAACTCTGACGACATCGAAAACTGGACGAAATCAGGTGAGGGTAACATCGCTCTATAGAGGAGAGTAAGGACTGACCGTCTCCCGCTCTGATACCATGTTAATACAGAAAACATCAGCTCAATCAAAAGGATCGTCAATGGAGATTAGGGATTCTAGATCCTTCTTATCAGAGAGAAAGATACAAACGAGGCAGTGAGAGATGGAAAATGGTCGGCCAACCCAATACAGTTGGGCCTTTTACTATTTATACTTCACTTAGACCCGGTCCATAATATTTACAAAACTAGCAGAATGTATTGAACTAAGCTATTACATTTGACTACTCCTGTCTATTTACCAAATAAATAAAGAATAGGCCAACTTAAGTGTGTGGCTTTGGAGGCCCAACAAAACCTCGTTACCTAGAATATTGCAGTTTCTAAGAGAGGACAAACAAGTAGTACAATATTGTTCATATTGAAAGACACCACTTGTGATACGGTGACATTGAAATATTGGAAAGCGATCGTTTCGTTGAGGGTTGCTAACACATTTAATTTTACATATTTCAAAACTGAAGAATCAATATCCGACATCTCAGTCTTTCTGTTCTTGCTGGAACAACATGACACGAACCTTATTATAAGCTCATCCTCGGCTCTTTGTCATTTGTATTAATTGAACTCAAGATAATACTAAGAAGAAACTGCCATTTATCGATACCCTACATACTAAAGCCAATCAAGTTGTGGCCAAAATTTCAAAGTACCTTTCCAACTTTGATCCCCATTTGCCTTTTTCCAAGGGAGAACTTCTGAAATGCTTTTGTCGTTCTCAAATCTCACACTTCAAACTCAATGGACATTGAGTAAATTGAACTATATGTCAGCTTATTAATTTATCAAATATCAATCCGTATATATCGATCCCAAAAACTCAAGTATTGAAAAGGACTATGTGATATATAAGTACATACATGTAAACTAGCACTGCAGGTCTCTATCTCTAGGATTCCATACTCACAACAACCACACGAGATGGTACAAAAGCAATCTATGAAAACCATAGCACGTATAACAAAAAATATGAGCACATCGAGAAAATACAAAGAATTTTATACTGTAGTAACCAAGATGAAAGTGATAGTGGAAACCAAACATATCTCTAAGGTTCAGTGAAAACGCACACTGAAAATTCGACTGAAACTAGAAAAAGTTACTGTAAACGCAAATTTCAAAATTCATATGTTTACAGTTACATATATGGCTAAGATTATAATTATTGTTTCAACAACCCCAGGTACCTTGACTCTTCAAATACATAATAGGGTGATATTTCTTGCTGAGTTTCAGAATTGCATACTGATGGAGGGTAAACAATTAGAGGGCTCAATTCTTCCCAGCTTGTACTAATATCTGGTGATGTAGTGCTAATAGTGCTACTATTGACCATTTCCAATGCACTTTTATCTATTTGTTGAGAATGAC